ACACACACACACACACACACACACACACACACACACACACACACACATATATATATATATATATCTATAAAATTCATATACGGATACATGTACATAAAATATACATATACATATACATGTACATGTACATGTACATGTACATACACATACACAGACAGATATTATACAGATATAGATATAGGTATAGATATAGTTATATATACATAGATACAATACATATACACATAAATATCTATGTACATATACAAGTATCTACACACACCTTGACAGTCTCCTCCTCCGACACGTCATCGTTTCTGCCTCCCGGAGGGCTAGCCAGGTTGTAGTTATGAGGATCCCCATTCTTATCGCGCCATTCAGGACACTTGTTCTTGTTGGACTTGACATGACCTATTTGACCACAAGCACTGCACTTCTTCTTCCCTCGCATACCCCCTTGTCCGCGGGCAGCGCGACCGCCGCCCAAGCCATCGTCGTCCGTTCTGTTTGTGGGTGGGGTGGAATGAGGTTGAGTCGACAGACACGCCGGATGGGTAAAGTGTAAATATACTACACATAGGATTGAATGTACATACATACATATACCTTTACATATATATATACATATATATATATTTATATATATACATACATACATATACATATACCTTTACATATATATATATATATATATATATATATTTATATATATACATACATACATACATACATACATACATACATATATATACATATATATATATAAATATATATATATATATCTATATACACACACACACATATATATATAATATACATCTCTGCCTGAAAATAGCACATAGTTATCTACTGAGGCACGGAGTGACCCTCGCCCGTGTCAATAGTTCGGATTGTGGGCGATGTCGGTTGGGGATTATATAGCAAATGACATCATGAATATCATATATATTTACATATATATTTATATATATATATATATATATATGCTCCTCCACAAAGACATTTTTGATAGTATCGATAAGAACATACATACAGATCTCTGTTGAACTATTCACAGAGATATACACATGCATGCACATCTCTTTCCCCTACACATACACAAGCACCACACACCTGCGCTTCCTTTTACCCCTGCCAGTTGTCCCGCCTCTCTCGTTCTGTGCGTCGTCTGTGGGCAGGGGGGCGTTCTCCTCCTCCTGTGCTATGTACATTTCAATCACTCGCAGATCCCGCACCACCTCTGTGCGCTTGACCATATTGCCGTCCTCATCGACAAACGTGCGGGTTATCTAAGCGGTAGAGTGAGTACATTGGTTAATGGCGTGCAAGGAATATCAGGGCATGAGGCTCGGTTGATTAAACAAAACAGTACGATATACAGAGAGTGATGAGGCATAAGGTAGGTACAAATACAATAGGTACCATGTTGTCTGAGCCAGAGGATACAGCAATAGGTATGGGTAGGGCGTACAACGAGCGGTGAGATGTCAATGTAGGTCCACATACAGGGTCTGGGTGTCCGAATACATTGATACAACAAACGGTATAACAGTATGGCATACAAAGCGTTCTGAAATATAAATACACAATCACATACATGACCATGTAGTTATCCGCACCCATACTCCATTGGTTTCGGCTTTATCTTGGTTGCAAATGTCACTGTGACTAGAGGGTCTACCAACGTTAATATCGTATAGCGGTTTTCGAAAGGAGCCGATTCAGGCCTCAACTTCCAATACTCGTCATATCTCCACACATTTTATATATATATATATATATATATATATATATAATATATACACACATACATACATACATACATACATACATACATACATACATACATACATACTTGCACACACATACACATAATATAAATATATATACATATTTATATATACATCGTATATGCATACTCACATTTATTCATCAGCATCATCATATATCCCCACTTACATTGTCACATCACATACACCTTGATATATTCTACCATACCTTTAATATTTTGGCGCGGGTAGTGGGGCCTTGGGAGCCGTCCATCATACCCTCGAGACTGTTTGCCAAGTCCTCATCGTCGTCGTCGGATGACCTGCACCGCCAATGCAATTACATGTGAGTAACTGATAGAAGTAGCGTCCCCCATTCCACGGCAAGCTATAAGCCTTAAACCCTAAAACCTAAAGCATAAAGCCAATGGCCAAGCGGCTTTATACAGTCAGATGTACGGTTCAGGGTCATTTCAAACGTCCGAGGCACAAAGAGAATTGGGGTTTGATAGTTTCACCGTTAGAAGCCGAAGGTGCACACTACACCTGATTGTCCCAGTCGTAGACTGTTCTTGACATAAGTTAGAGGCACTACAGATCACCAGTTTTGCACCACCGTAGTATTCGGAGACATAATAAGACATATATTGGCGTGCATAGCAACTCTACGAGAGCCCTGATTAAGTAGAGATGGGCTAGTAGGACAATTGCACCTGTGACCATTTTCTAGGCTACGGCCCCGAATAGAACGAACGTATGAGAACCAAATGTGGCAGAAAAACGTATGACGAAGTGAGAGCGACATCTTTTTTCTTATCAAACGCCGCCAGACACTCATTCAGGTGTAGCTGGTGATGTTCCGCAAAGGGGATACATGAGCGTGCATATAACAAAATCTTCAGAAAGAATCACATGTCACACTCACGCATATATTTACACACACACACATACTCTCTCTCTCTCTCTCACATATATATACATATACACATATACACATACGCATCCGATTCGAGCTGGTCCGTATTTCCCAGCGCAGCATTCTGCTTATCAAACGCCGCCTGACATTCGTCGAGGAATCGCTGGTGATGTTCTGCAAAAGAGATGCGCGTGCTACGCGCAAACCGTGCTAAGTGCCCCCCACCTCCCGCAGCGTGGGCAGCTTTGGTACTCATTTCTCGTACTGATAGAAGGAATACAAAGGAGGGGTTGAAAATAAATAAACAAATAAAGACTAATAAATGCTTTCTATATATATATATATATATATATATATATACATATGTATGTACGTGTGTGTGTGTGTACTTTCGCACGCGTGTACATACCCAGGTCAACCACCTTCCACCGGCCCTCGGGTATATCGGACTTCTTGACGTTGAACTCTTGTTGCAGCATTTCCTTCATTTTGATCAGCGGAAGCTTTCTGTTACACACATATCAGTAGTAGTAGCACAGACAGGCACATGTCAGAGTTCTATCCGAGATTAAATTTAGTACAATGAGAAGTATATGGGTTGTAGTACAGCGGTACGTATGGCCCCGAAGGACTACACCGGCTACCCAGCCATAGAAGCCAATGGCGGTAAGTAGCACACTTACAGCCCAAATACAATGATTCGAGGTGCAATCTGAACTTATTCCCAAGCGCCACAGGACACTTGAACCCTGAACCTAACTTGAGGTGCGATCCGGCCTTTTTTCCCCCATGCCATATCATCTACTCTCCCATAGGCGGTTCGTTTCAACCCCCAAAAAGGGTTTCAAGGTTTTAGGGTTTTTAGAGCCCTAAAACTTCGTAGGCCTCCAAGGGATTCTGGCAAATACTTAATGTCAAGGCTTATCCACAACAGAAAATTTGAAGAAACAGGTGTCCGTGACAGTCTCACACCTTAAATCGGGGAAAAATATTTGTAACAAACAAACATGAATAGGATACCACACAACACACAGGATGACCACACCGTCTACGTATACATATACATGTATACACACACATAAATATATATATACACACCCACGCATACATACATACATACATAGCATACATACATACATACATACATACAAGCACATACGTACACACACACACACACACACACACAACACACACACACACACACACACACACACACACACACACACACACACACACACACACACACACACACACA